CGAAGTAGTGTCACCCAAAGGTCTGTATTCAGTCTCAGTACTAGAGCGAGATGGAATAGCTTGTTTCTTACTACGCGATGAAATAAGAGAGTTACCAAGAAAGAGACAATAGCCAATAGTGGATCTTCGATCTGTAAGATCACCAGCCCAATCGGCATTTGAATATGCATGAAGGACAAGGGAGGAATGAGCTGAGAAGTGAAGTCCATGAAATAGTGTTCCCTTAACATAGCAAATAATACGAAGTACAGCAGCAGAATGAATGAAGCGAGGGGCAGCCATAAATTGACTAACAACATGAACTGCATATGCTATGTCTGGGCGTGTCGTAGTAAGATAAACCAAACTACCAACCAACTGCCGATAAGGAGTAGGGTCAAGGAGTGGAAAACCATCTAATGGTGTGAGCTTAACATTCGGTTCAAGAGGTGTGGAGACATTCTTACTATTAGTGAGACCGGTTTTAGATATGAGATCTGATGCATATTTCATTTGAGAGAGAAGATAACCATCATCTAAGGATGTAACTTCAAGTCCCAAAAAATAACTCAAAGAGCCAAGGTCTTTCATCTCAAATCTGTGGTTGAGAAACTGCTTAACCTCATCAATCCTTGAAACATCATCTCCAGTGATAATCATATCATCAACATATATGAGTAAAAGAACCATTCCCTGAGCAAATTTATGAACAAATAAAGCTGTATCATGTGGACTAGAGGTGAAACCAAACTCACTTACAGTATAACTAAATTTTGCAAACCAAGCTCAAGGAGACTGCTTTAAACCATACAAGGCTCATCGCAATCGACATACCTTATTCGAAGGAGGAGTAAGTCCAAGAGGCGGTTTCATATAGACCTCCTCTTCCAAATCACCATTAAGAAAGGCATTCTTCACATCCATCTGAAACAGCTTCCATTTACGTACAGCAACAATAGCTAGTAAACTATGTACTGTGGTAAGACGAGCAATAGGAGCAAAGGTTTCCTCATAGTCAATGCCATATTCTTGCGTAAAACCCTTTGCCACCAGATGTGCCTTATAACGCTCCATAGATCCATCAGAACAAGTTTTGATCTTGTATACCCACTTGCATCCAACAAGAGTCTTATCAATAGGAAGATCAACCAAGTCCCAAGTACCTGTCTTTTCCAAAGCCTGTAATTCCTCTTTCATAGCTTGCTGCCATAGAGGATCTAAAGAAGCTTCCTTGTAGGACTGAGGTTCATGTAAAGAGGTGAGTGCGGAAAAAGAATGATAATCTTGAAGATATGTAGGTGGATTTCTTACCCACGTAGGATGACTAGAAGAGGAAGTAACTGGTGGATTTTCAATCTCATTTGTTCCAGGTGCAATATCCGTAGAAGAGACATCTTCTGAAACAGGAATCGCGGAAGTTTGATCATTTGAAAGCTCATTAGGAGACCCTGCATCATCATTAGGAAATAACTCAAGGGATGGATTAGTGAAGATAGGAGGTTAATGAGAAGGAGACACCTTGAATTCAGAAAGAGAAGCAAACATAGTGTGTTCCCAAAAAACAACATGACAAGAGACACGGAGTTTTTGTGATACTGGATCCCAACAACGATAACCTTTATGTTGTATCCCATACCCCAGAAAACAACAAAGTCGAGCTGGAGGCTCTAACTTGTGATGTTCATGAGAAGGTAAAAGAACAAAACAAGCACAACAAAAAATTTTAAGAAGATCATAGCTAGGAAGAATACCATAGAGACACTCATAAGGAGATTTATTTTGTGTGACGATAGAGGGGACTCGATTTATGACATAAACAGTTGTAAGTGCAGCTTCACCCCAAAAATGCTCAGGACATGAAGAGGAAATCAAGAGAGCACAAACTAAGTCCAAAATATGACGATGTTTTCGCTCAGCCCGCCCATTTTGCTGAGAGGTATATGGACAAGATCTTTGTTGTATTGTGCCCTACTCTTTAAGAAAAAACTGAAATTTAGAGTTGAGATATTCAAGAGCATTGTCAGTTCTCAAGACCTTGATGTTTTAGAGAATTGAGTCTTGATCATATTAGCAAACTCAATATAAATTTGAGGTAATTCTGAGCATTTTTTCATCAAATATAGCCAAGTGAAGCGAGAATGACATCAATAAATAACACAAAATATTTTGAACCACCCATGGTAAGAGTGGGAGATGGCCCCCATATATCAGAATGTACTAAATCAAAAAGTGCAAGTGAAATGGAATCACTTTTATTAAAAGATAAAGCAAGCTGTTTAGCAACTTGACACGAGATACAATGTAAAGACTCTTCTTTAATAGAACCTAAAGACCCATTCTAAATTAAAGGATGAAGTTTACTAATAGAGGCATGACCAAGACGAAGACGCCACAAGTGTAAAGAGGAAGATGTTGAGACTGCACACAACTGGGAAATGTAACTAGAAGGGATGTGCAAGGAGGTGAGCTCAAACAAACATCCAACTTTACGACCTATCCCAAGAATCTGTCCCGTCTGTGGATCCTGCACATGACAACCACGAGTAGAGAATATTAGTTCAAGACCAAGTTCACACAGTTGTCCCATAGAAATAAGATTGAAAGTAAGTTTTGGTATCAGGAAAGTGTTTGGTAAGGTAAGGGTAGAAGTGGAAACTTGACCATATTGGCTAACTTGCATTTGTGAACCATCAGCAGTATGGATAGGAGGTGCGGTGGTATTAGGAGTTAAAGTAGAAAAAAGCGTAGAGTTTGAAGTCCACACCACGTTGTTTTCCCCTTTTTCCTTTTTCAATAAGCTGTACATCTCAAATCTCCCTTTCTCACCATCTCAGAAATTGAATGCTCTTAATGCAAAAACTGAAGTTTTTAATTACTGAAACTTAAGTTGTGTTTTATATCCACATGTGTTTTCTCTAATTTTCAACCACCAAAACATAAAGCTAACAACAGCAACAAAACTTACAATGTGCAATTAACTTTAAGTAAATAACCCAAAAAATAATCCCAATCTAAGAAGTTGATACAAAAATATGGAGGCTATTTTTACTCATACTAGTAGACTTGGCAAACGGGCGGGTTGGGTCGGGTTCAGGTTGGGTCAACTCGAGTGACGGGTTGTACGGGTTGTGGGTTTGAAAAAATTCAATCATAACCCGACCCTAACGGGTTACGGGTTAACCCGCAAGTTGATATTATTTTCATTCTTTATAATTATTTTTTATTAATTTTATTATATACAAATAAAATTATATATATCTAAATCTAATTAAAGTATTATGATTCATTAAAATTAAGTACTTTATAGTCTTAACCACAAACAATTAAATTAAGAAAAAAATCATAAAGTTATAAATAATAAGTTGATTAACAATAACAATATTAAACGTAAAATATTTAAATTTCTTGGAAAATAAAGTTTTAATTTTATAATCATCTTGAAACATTATCAAGTAGTTTAAACCATTTTTTTAATGATGAAATTGCTCTTCCAAGAACATCTTTTACTAAGTTATTATGTTTATGTCCTAACAACATATCTTTTAATATTTTTAGTTGCATTATCATTTCATTCATGATACTTGGGTAATGGTTAATACCAACAAAAAAAAAAATGATACTTAGATAATTAGATCAAACTCATCATAATTTCTCCGTCTTTCTCTAGAAATTAAGGAGTATGAATTAATGGAAGGAGTTAATAATAAGAAAATTAATTAAGAATAATAAGTATAATATTTTTAAAAAATAATAAAATAATAAAACAAACGGGTCAACCCGTCAACTCGTGGGTTGACCTTAACCAGACCCGTAACCTGTACGAGTTGATGATACGGGTTATCTACGGGTTGCGGGTTGGGATATGTAGACTCTAACCCATTTTTACTAGGTCGGGTTTGGGTTGGGTGTGTTTTTGCCAGGTTTACATACTAGTGACTAGAAGGGCAAGCGAAAATTGAAAATACTTAATTAACAAATGAGTGAAAATTAGAGTCCTGATTGGCAATTCTAGCCCAAAAAAAAAATTATCTAAGAGAAGATTTTTCCCTTGTATTGCACCTCCCCCAGAACGGTAGCAGCTCCAGCATTCACCGGCCCCGAACTAGCTTGGCGCTTCCTCGTGTTGACCATTCTCCATTCTAGAGGTAAAGTAGCGAACACGTGGCAACCTCACAACTACGTACAAAACATGACGCAACCTCCAAAAGATTGCTGACTTTTAAGACCAATTTAATCTTGTCCCAGATTTCAAGAGAATAAAAGAACATCAGATAGATCCCCCAACCCTTACAGCTCCTTACTCTCAGCTCTGCTCATTCAATCCAGGTGCCTTTCAATTCAATGTTAAGATTTTTCTGGAAATTTCTTTTCTTTTGTTGTTTGGTTATGAATTTGTTGTTTTCATCATGTGTTAAATATGAATTGTCAGCTGTCAAGCCCGTTTTCCACATATTGTGACTTTATTATGGGATGAAGCTCGGAATCTTGAAAGTCTGCTTCTTTTAATCCCTTTCCCCTTTCTAACATCGCCGCGGCCGCCACCGCCGCCGCCAAATTTGGGACTTCTGGCTGATTTCTATGGCGGGTTGTTTTTCTTTCTTAGATTAATTTGTGTTGCTTTGCGGCGTGTTGGTTTGGTTCTTGTTGACAGTTTGCGTAAAGAAAGATGGCATTTTTCTGGAGCTCTCTCCTTTTTGTTTCTGTTTCTTGAGGAAGAGAACTGCCGAACCCTTTTTTATAACTTATTGCCACATTACAGGCATTTTTTTCCAGTGTTTGCTGGCTACGTTTTGGTTTTGGTTGGCATGGGATGATGCTTGTGTTGTCTTCTAGAATATAGGAATTCGGTAACAAGGGAAAGTAGGAACTTTGTTTGCCTTTGTGTTTCTTCACTTGATACTCATTTTCTGCTTGTTCAAGTATGTACAATTTCTAAGTGTTTGCTATATTTGTTTTGTTCAAGTGTGTACAATTTTTTTTTTTTTTCGTTTTTTTGGTTTTGCTTTTGATTGGTTTCAACTTTGAAGCACTTAATTTGTATCAGGAATGAGGGAGTTGTATTTTTTATGACATTGGGGAAGAAGGGCAAGTAAAGGGCTTGCTTGGAGTTGAAAATTTCATTTCATCTTATAAAATTAGAATTTTTATGTGCTTGTTCAATTACTCATTTTAAATCTGGTGCCTTATACTGTACGTTCTGATATTGATTGGTGTAGTTGATTTGCTGCTTTTAAGAATCAGTGAAATCTCTAGGGCTATTTGGGTTCATGGGGGGAAGGAATTCTAAGGAGACTCTTTTACCTCTATGGAATCGCCCATCGGATTCTCAGGATGGTCAACAGAGTCAGGGTTATATGTCACAGCAGATGGGAAATATTTCCGACAGTGTCCTCCTTCCTCCTTCTGTATCCGGCGCTTCTAGATATGATGTTTCCGGCGCTTCTACATATGATGTTTCCGGCCCTTCTACATATGATGTTCAGGTATGAGGCATTCGAAATGCTGTTCCAAGTCTTCTGATCACAACAACAGGATTAATTACACTGAACTGGAACCTCTTGGAACAAAAATAGTATAGGGATCCAAGTCTTCTTGAGTTTTTTGTCTTTACTTTCAGTTTAAATTACTTTTGAAACTCCTTGTTTTAGTAGCTATTATTTCAGAATGCTTCTCAAGTAAACTAGTAACAAGAGACTAAGATTATATGTCGTTCTTGACAGCGTTGCCCCATTTGTTTTTCCAACCCAAGGGACATGGCATTTGGTTGTGGGCATCAGGTATTCCTTGAATGCATTT